GTTAATATTATATTATTTATTTATTTTTTTCAAAATTAGAAAATTTCTTTGAAAAATACAATTGGATTAAAAAAAAATTCAAGGATTATAACAGAGTTCACAAACAACATGTATAAAATATCATTAATAATTTTCAGAGTTTATGTACCATAGCAATAGATTATCTTCTAATTTAATATTATTGATTTATCTCATTAACTAATCAACATTTTTTTAGGATAATCTTATTTTACAAAGTTTTATAATTTGTTTAGTTTAGTAAATTATAATGCTGCCAAAAACAAAGATGGTTCTTCAATGTATAAATCATGAATATATTTCTAATTAAACTTACCAAATAATTTGAAGGTCATAAATAACCAAATACTAAAGGATACACCTAACAATGCTACTCCTACATTTCCCTTCCATGCCCCTGTTGGGGCTTGGAATTCACTGAATGTTTGACGGTAACTGGCTCTGTATAATGCTTTCTTTTCCTCTAGTGATAATTTCTTCCAATCACCTTTTTCTTTTTCACGCAATGCCTACATAACAATCTTTGTATTTGAATTTAAAAATTTGAATTACCACAATTTTGAAAATATTAAATTTTATAATGTAAAACCTACATAATATACTTAAGTTTAAGGCATTAATTTGCTATAAAGAAATATTTAAAGACCATGTTTTCTAAATTGGGTTTGATAGGTTGTAATAACAATAATTCTTTTACCATGATATCTGAAGAGGATGGCATGAAACGAATAGCAGGCATGGGATAATCAACTCGATCTAAGTAAGTTTCTTCTCCATTATATCCATAACCCACTACCTCTCTATTACCAATTTTATTAGGCAGTCCATGCACTTCTACTATCCCACGAATACACATTGGCATACTTTGTTGAAAGCGTGATAGCAATATCTTATTTGCCATTGTGTGCTGAAATTATAAGCATATTTAATACAAAATAAAAGAATAATATATTAAAGTTATTTTTACATTTATTGGTACCAATATTGACATAGTTAATTATGATCAAATTTATTTCAACATAATATGCGTTTTTATACAAATTTTATTTATTACTTATTACAAATGATTTTATTATATCAGTATAGTTTTTATGTAGTTTAAAAAATTACATGTAGCAACTACATTTAACTTACTAGAACATATAATACAAGTTTCCAAAGTTCTAAGTAGAATATTAAGATACTTTTGCAACAAAATGTATAACACAAAAAACTGTAGGGGTTTTAAAACATAAATTACATTTTAAAAGTATTTAATTTTTAGGTAATGTTACAATTTTGATTGCTGTACGCAGTGGTTACCTAATACGATAAATTTCACAAAACAAATTTATATAACGAAATGAAATAAGTTTAACTTTATTACAGTTAGTACATTATCACATAACAAACATAATATTGCTTATGATTAAAGCTAACAATTTATAAGATGGTATTAACGAGTAAAAAACTTACTTTCTGCAACGATCCTAACCCAAAGAAAAGCAATATGGCTACTACCAGGCAGTGATGCCAGCGCTTACCCCCACTATGACCTACTGTCGTCTCCCTCTATACCGTCCTCTTACTCTCACACAAGTGTATCGGTAGCTCTGCTTGTGCATAGCATGTTCGGCACTTTCCGCTACAATCTGCGTCACCACGTGATGCTCCAGCAACCTAAGCGCATGAGTAACAATCAGGAGATTCCCTTTGAATCTCGGTACGACGGTGTTACTTTTTATTTTTAATTATTTTGTAATTTCATTGTGTAACTTTTCAGTGAAATAAAAAATTTGAGAAATATTGATGTGCAAAGCACTTAACAAGGATAATAAAATTACAAAATAATTAAAAATAAAAAGTAACACCGTCGCATCAGATTCAAAGGGAATCTTCTGATTGTTACTCATGCGCTCAGGTTGCTGGAACATCACGTGGTGACGCAGATTGTAACGGAAAGTGCCGAACAGGCTACGCACAAGCAGAGCTACCGATAGACTTGTGTGAGAGCAAGAGGACGGTATAGAGCAGAGCTGTTTAACTTCTTGCTCACGAGCAAATTTCCCCTCCCGAGGTTCCCCCATTATGCGACTGTGATGATCTCGCTGGAGTTGCGGTGGGAGGACTCCTTCTCGCGTCCTCCCGCCGCGCCGAAACTCCAGCGAGATCATCTCTGTCGCATAGTGGGGAACCTCGGGAGGGGAAATTTGCTCGTGAGCAAGAAGTTAAGCAGCTTTGGTATAGAGGGAGACGACTGTAAGTCATAGTGGGGGTAAGCGCTTCGGCGCACGTTCCACGATTCTGGCATCACTGCACCACGCTACCAGGGTTAGATCAAAGTTGGGTGTATTCCGAATGCTTTATACCTAAGTTTCATACTATTTAGGTACTCCTATACATATATATAAATATCGAGTTCTGAACTATCGATATATAATTTGCATGTAACTTCGGTTTTTAAATAGACGCGGTCATTATACTAAACGTATATATGAAATCTTTTATATTAATTTTAAAGTGATTTGAATAATATTTTTGATTTTAAATAATATTTTTCTAAATGAATACGTTTAAAAATATGGAAAAAAATTAATACCTTTAACAAGTTCGCCTTTACTTAATTTTATATTTTTTTCATAAATTACGCATTAAAGCACAGAATTACCTTAATTACCTTTAATGTGTAGATTCAATTATAGTTACCATTAGAAACATAAGCAAATATTGCTTCTTTTTAATTATATTTTTCATTTATATTAATATCATTTGCATTTTTCACAAATATATTAAGAAAATTATAATTTATTGTTAAAATGAGAAACAATGTTGTCATATTATAACTATATAACAAACAAAAATAGTTATTTTGCTATAGTTTATGTTGATAATCATGGAAAATAATGGTAAATAGAGTAAAAAATGAACATATGTTCAAGTAAAATTATTGGTTTTTTAAGGTGAATAATTTTAAATTCTGCTGAAAGAGAAAAATGAAAGGAAGTAAGAAAAAGTAATAGATCTATAAAGATAGATTTCAAAGATTAAGAAAATGCCCAAAACTTAACATTTTATTTGTACTTTTACATTATTTGACATTCTAAATAGAAACGATATGAACGCATAAAATAAGATAATTTTTTTTTATTTTGAAAGCATTTCTTTTTACACTGAAATTATTTTATTGTAATATTCATTATTACAATAATTGCAAAAACTATATTAGATATAAATTTCAATGTATTGATATTTTCTTTATGTGAATATTAAATTCTTTGCAGCGTATACAAGATATGTTTAAGATACACCTACTTTATCGACCAAGTAAATTTATGTTTGAAAGGACATATGAAGTAGTCTCTATTTCTGGCTATAGGATCGTACAATTCGTGTGATTATAAACCCGCGGTTGCTTACGGCATGGCGTTAGCCAAGTCGTGTGTCATCGTGCGTTGCAGATGAAAAGTGTAGTACATTTGTAACGCTTTTATTTTACATGTTGTATATTAATGAAAAACTTTTTATACAAATTTTAACGACAGGTGAGGATTTCAGAAAATGTTAACACAAGTGCCTCGAGAGATAAATGATAATATTTGTAGAGGAACGATGTTTAAAGATGCAGTGAGGTTTTGATATGGCGGCAAATTTTAGTTACGTGGAGATTTGTTATAAACCTTAGTAGTACCCTTTAATTATTTTATTAATTACTCAAATGCGAGTATCTTAAAATTTTTGTGCTAAGTTGCAACCAAAATGGATTTGTTTGCAGCATTACATCAAAAAATTGAACGCTGTACATTTCTGCATTTTGAAGCACAGTGGCGACATATCATGGCGGCGAAATTTTCTTAGCTGCAGTTGTGTATCTCGATTATTTTCGTACCCAATACGTACGCCAAGGAATTTCTTTGTAAAGTAACATATTGAGTAAATTAATATATTGTGTATAAAATTCTTTTCATAAAATTTTCATTTACACTTTAATTTTGTGTGTTCAAGTGATGTAATTACATTGTATTAGCCAGGTATAACATGTAGTTAATCTTTCCTGTGTATATCTTTTATAGTGACATTATGACTTGGATGTGAAATTGTGATGCAGCAGCTTCATATTAATATAAGGCTCTGATATATTCTTGCTTGTGCACATGTTTATTTTGTATGCTTTTTAAGATTGTTCAAGATGAACAAGCGCCGTAGAACATCTTCAGTTGCAAGTCGAGGCACAGAAGATGATGGTGATGATATACCACCTGAACCAACAAAGAGACGGAAAAAATTAGATCCTGTAAAATACTCTAAATTATTGTCAATTATTATATGTAAAAATTTTAATGATGTTCAGAAATTAATATTTATTAAATATTTAGAGTGACCTGTGCCAACAGTTATACGATGTGCTACGTAATCAAAAAAAAGAAGATGGAACATTATTATGTGATGCATTTATACGTGTGCCTAAACGTAGACAAGAACCAGGTTATTATGAAGTTGTAACAAATCCTATAGACCTATTAAAGGTTCAACAGAAACTAAAAACAGATGAATATAGGGACATGGATGATTTAGCAGCTGATATTCAACTTATGGTTAACAATG